CCGGGAAGTTTTTGTCTAAATCCAAGTTATCTCGCAAACCTGTGCGGATTATATGCCTCAAGAATGAAAGGGAAGTTTCCTTGATGATAGAAAATAAATCCAGATCGAATACTCATCATAAATTCTGAGGTATGTACAAACCTTGGTTGGTCATCCTTTCGTACATCGGGATGGGATAATGAGGGAAATGGATTCCAGCAACAGTTATTGGCATCCATCATTCCCGGATAAGGTCCGACAATCAACAACATTTTTCTCCAAAGACTGGAAATCATTTAAGGTGCCAGCATATCTTCAGATTATAGGATGAGTATAACTCTTGTCTATATGAACATAAATATTTCGGACAAAATAAGTTGTAGCCCAAGCGTAAAGAAAATGTCCAGGAAATGAATGTGAAATCCAACTAAGGTTCGGGTTTGACTGATGGTTCGATGTCAGTGTAAGTCCTCTATAAGTATTCGCTAATATGGGAGGAACTAGGCTGTAGGTACACCTACCTGCCATTTTAGAGGACACTTTAAAAGTCCCAACTCTTATACACTCATCCCCAGATGGAAGAATGAAATGACAAAGCCCCAAGGAGAGATAAGCCGCTATTTCTAATTCCTCTTCTTCTTCTATAAACAAAGATATTGGCAAATCACTCCAATGACTCCGATCCCTACGAAAAATATCTCTCGGCTTGGTTACAACCACGGGTGGCCTCTGTATTTCCTTTGAAGCTCTTTGATGATGCCTCTTGAATGGATTTAGACTCATAGTATTCTTATAATATCTGTGTTGTCGAGGATTATGAGCACAACCATTCTTGCGAAACCAAAAAATTAATCCATTCTTCGTGACTAACGCAATCAGATTTATTCGCATCTACAATTAGTGCGAAAACATTAAAGAGGTACATACAAGACTTAGAATGTTGATATGTAAGCTCTGAAAGGCTTGAGACTACTTCCTCATAGTAATCACCCTCGATCGAAAGTCTACTTATCTCGCGAATGTCCCGTTGAGAAATGCCAATTTCACCACAAACGGTCACTAAAGTGTTGGTCTCTGGACACCAAATCTCGCAAAGAGCTCTATAGATAGAATTTGGGCTATGATAATCCTTTGTAGTAGAGCTGACTGTAGAAGCTATTTGGTGAGGATTCCTTTTAAGCAAAAGTTTCTGGACCCATGAAGACCACTCCCAAAACTTTGGAAGAAAAAAAATCTCTCCAAAACTGACAAGCGCACTTTCCCATCGTATTTCTTTGTTGCTAGTCCTCTCACAAATTATGGCCCTTCGGATGCAATCCATGCTTTGGGAATGATGAGGCAGAAAGCACAAAAATGGAAAATGACTGCTGGATCGGTTGGACGTAGCAACTTCTAAATTCTCATGGCATTAACTAATAATGGGCATATGCAACTCCAACAAAGGCTCTAAGAGCTCAGAAGAAGGATCTGTAGTTGGCTTATGGATGCTGAGTTTAGGTTAACCACATATGCTAGGATGGACATGGTACTTCAAATCAGTATCTTTGAAACGAAGGTACGATTTCATGTATATCATTATAAATTCTATTATTGGAGCTTGTCTCAGCCATTCCTAAAAAAAAGGAGACAAAAAAAAACGGGCAGTAAATATTTTAAATTCATTTATTTTCTAAATCACGAGCCTCCCAAATATGTAAATGGTCTCCAAAAACAAAGTGCCTTGGATGGTCTAAGGAGTCGATCCTTGGTCCCAAATACAAAGTGTCTTGACGGTTGTAGGAGTCGATCCTTGGTCCCAAACACAAAGTACATTAGACAGTCGAAAGAGTCGGTCATTAGTCCCAAACACAAAGTGCCTTAGACAAGCGAAGGAGTCGGTCCTTGGTTCCAAACACAAAGTACCTTAGCCAAACACAAAGTACCTTGGACAAGCGAAGGAGTCGGTCCTTGGTCCCAAACACAAAGTGCCTTGGACGGTCGAATGAGTCGGTCATTGGTCCCAAACACAAATGGACGGTCAAATGAGTCGGTCTTTGGTCCCAAAAAACAAAGTACCTCGGATGGCGAAATGTGGAAGCCCTTGGTCTTCAATGTGCATGAAAAAAAAAGTTTGACATTTTGAGTTTGTACATGAGCAAATATTTTCTGAACCCGTAAAGTAATCGCATCACAAAATTTTACTCTATGCCAAGAAAATCTCAAACCTCCAAATCTTTGATTTGTTCTAGAAGTTGAATCCCTGAGAATAAAAACGAAGAATATTAGTTCTAATCTTACAACAACCATACAAAAAAAGAAAAAAATTGTTACTATTCACGTGAACAATACAGTACTGATCACATGAATAGTGTACATCAAAAAAAAATCTTAGAGCAGAAACCAAGAAACTAACTAACTAAACAAAAAAAACAACGTTTTTAAAAAAAATTAAAACCAATTTGGTTTTTGCCATAAACATTGTTTGGTTTTGGTTTCCGTCGACGGCGGGAACCACAATTTTATTTTTTTGGTTCCCGCGACAGCGGAAACCAATTAATTAAAAAAATTGAAAAGAAGAGATAAAATAAACCTAATATTGTTTTACCTTTTGTTTGCAAATCTAATATATTGATTTATAAATAACATAATTCATTCATATAAATAGGCGGGTATCGAACTTCACTTAAGCCCAACATACTATAAAACATAAAAAACATATTTAAAATCAAAATAAATAAATAATCGAATAACAGTTGCGTTAAAAAAAAGTCGAAAATCAAGATTTATTAATTTATTTATTTCATAATAAATAAATAAATCTTGAGGGGGCGTTTGTTGACATAAAAAAATAAAATAAAAAATAATGGGTTAGGTCAATTTAAATAACTAGCCCAATTAAATTTACTAAATTAAGAGTGTGTTTGGTATGAATTTTTGGGGGAAGAATTGATTTTTAAATAGTGATATGATGGGAAATGTGTGGTTGAAAAAGAAGAAAAAAGTATTGATGTGATGAAAAATATTATTTTATTGAAGAATGTGTGGTTGAAAATGAGAATTGATTTACTGTAGAAAATGAAAATCTGTACCAAACAGGCCCTAAAGCCTACTGAGGCCTATAAAATTTTAAAGGCCCATCCCACTATTTCAAAATTCACAATTATTCAGTTATAATCATTATAATTGAATGAATTAAGTGATTACCGAAATTGATCACAAAATTTCCCTATAAATAGGACCAAAGGTCCATCAAGAAAAGGGGAGAAAAGGGGAAAAATAAAATCACAAAGTGTTGAAGAAATCCCGAAAGTAAAGAAAGAGAAGAAATCCTCTCAACTCCAAGTTTGGCGAACACGAAGAAGATCAAAATTTTCTTCGAATTAAATCAAGATCAAGCCCAAGTTTCGAAGTGCAAATCCAATCTCCGAAATTCAAGTATCGAACAAATC